GAAAGGAAATAGTGAAGGAGGAAGATGGTGGTAGTGTTGACAGAAATTGTCTCAGTTTTGTTGTGGCTGAAACAAAATACCAGACATGCACAAGTTAAAGGAGGAAAGGATTATTTAGCACAGTTTGTAGAGGTTTCAGTCCATAGTCATCTGTCTCCAAGGCAGGGTGGCACAGCAGAGCATTGCAGAGGAGAAATGGTTCCTGGTGTGGCAGGCAGAAGGCAGCAAAGCCACAGCAGCAAGCCTGCCTTCTTTCTGTCCCTTTGTATTCCATCCAGGCTACAAGCCTATTGATTGGTGCTACCCACGCCCAGGGCGGAGCTGCCATTATCCACACCCACCCTTAATCCCAGTGTCATACAGCCCATACAACCTGGTCCAACGTCACACACCCCAGATCTAGCCACCTCCAAGGAGTCCCACCTGTGAGTGCGTGAGGCTTTGAGGGGGATATCTAGACACTGGCCATAGAAAGTGTGTGTGTTAGTCAACTTCTTGTCATGGCAAAACCATTGTTGAAATAACGCAGAGAGCTTTGGGTTGGGTCAAGTCTGCAAGAGGCCTGGCAGAAAAGGAAGTGTTGAGAGAGGATAAAGAGGAAGCTGAGAGTACACAGCCAGTTTAGCGTTGGAGATAGGACGGGATAGCCCAGGAACTGTCAGAATCTGACTGGTGCTGATGTTATTTTGGTGGAAGATGTGGGCAGAGGAGAGCAGATGGAGTGGCTGAAGTGGGAAATAGAGACAAGTGGAGATGAAGATCATTAAAAGGAGGTTGGAAGAAGGCTGAGGCCAGGTGTTAGGGAGCTTCAGAGGCTGACGGCAGCTTCTGGTGCAGAGAGGAAGACGAGGGGCTAGAGAAGCTTTCCTGGATAGTTGGGTTGACTCACTGCAATCAGCAGCAGCAGACGGTGATAATTTTCAAACGTTGTAGTGTTAGGGAAACTGATATTTCTGGAGGATTAATGTAGTGGCCATGTAGATGGTTATTTTAGGAGGGAGACTGATTGATAACAGCAGGAACATTATGAGCCTTTCTGAGTAAACTTGATAGACGCATTTGAAGTGATTTCTCTGAAATAGAATCATAGGAAACATCTGTTTTCTTGTCCTGAAATTAAAAAAAAAAAATTGAAAGTATTTTATGCGACAACCACTGATTCCGTATAAATTCCATAATTCTCCTGTACTCTAAATGTGGTTTTGATTATTTTAAAATTTTCATGTGAATCTAATTTTGCTACAGAATATTCATCATTTTGGATTTAAGCTGTTTTCCTGTAAATGTAAAATGAGAGCTCTAATGTACGTCATTTCTGTTTTGTAGAGTACAGTCAGTATAATGCTCTCAATGTTCCCCTCCACAACAGAAGACACCAGGTAAAGGATAAAATTCATGCTTTTATGTTTAGCCACATTTATGTCAAGCTTTGCAGAAATTAGAATGAGTTGTCTGGGGATATGTTTAGTGTGTGAAATCATTATTTTACATTGTCATAATTTCTTTAAATTGTATAACATTTGATTGAATTCATAAATAACACAATATTTTTATGCCTCTGTTTGGTAACCTAGAACTAAATTATGGGATACATTGCTGTTTTGAATCATCTTTTCTTTCAGGTTAGTGAACCTTGCTTTAAAGCCAGGTTAAGTGAGGAGGTGTGCTTGCCAAAACTGAGGGCTGTTTAATGTACTTAGGGAACAGTACTGTATTACAGTTCAGGCGGGGTGTGTGTCTATACTCTCAGTGCTTGGAGACTAAGACAGGAGGACCCTCATGAGTTTAAGACCAGCCTAGGCTATGTAGTGAAATCAAGACCAGCCTGAATTGCATAGCAAGACCCTGTCTGACTTAATCAACTAAAGTAAAAATTCAAATGGGAGCCAATGAATTATAAGGCATAATCACACTAGAATTCAAGTGTTTTCTCCAGAAGCAAACTTAATAAAGCTGGGTTAGAATAATAACTTGGGGATTGACCTCAACTGTGTACTTTTCATTTTTAAAGCTAAAGATGCGAGATATTGCCGGGCAGGCCCTGGCTTTTGTTCAAGATCTTGTGACTGCCCTTCTGAACTTTCATACCTACACAGAACAGAGGATTCAGATTTTTCCTGTTGATTCTGCCATAGATACTATATCGCCATTGAATCAGAAGGTAAATTTAACTCAGCATGTTTTGTGTTGCCTTGAACAAATAGTTGTTTTTAGACTAGTTCTGTGCAGCAGCCAGAAAGTGTGGTGGCGAGAAAATAACTATGAGTTGTAGTTTTACCCTCAAAACAAAACATGGCAAAAATGGAGAGTTTTCAGAAAGTAATTACTAGGCAGGGTGTTGGAAGAGCTCACTGTGAGAGAGTGTGTGAGACCCTCGGGGAGGAGGAGTGTTCTTAGCAGCACCTCCAGGAGAGGCTCTGTGGGCAAGTGGGTGGACCTTGGAGAGTGAAGATCAAAGGGGAGAGAAGAGGGATGGCTTGCTTCCCCGGGGGAGGAAAAGACGGGGGAAGGGGTAGGCCCAGGGAGGGGGAAGCACGCACACTGTCCTGGTGAAGGGAGACCAGGGGGCTCACTCGTTCCTAAGTTGGGGATTTACTGTACTCGAAAGACCTTGTGGTGCAGCTGACCTTTTTTCCTCTGGCTGATGTGGATTGGGAGTAAAAATGCTCCCCCAGTTGCAACTGGAAGATGTTTCAGGGTTTGCGAGGCTTACGGAAGAATCAGCAGAGGTTTGAGTGTTGCTTCCTGCAGCCCTTTCACCTTTACTGACCTCCTGGATTCTGTTCCTTTCTTTTTGCTCCTCGGCTAATTCTAAAAAAGAATTTAAGGTAGATTGCAAGGTTTCATGTGAGTGATAAAATAAAATGTATGTTAATGAGTATATTAGTCAAATACTAAGATTCGTTTGGGGTTGGGGGATCCGTTCACTTATTCACCTGGGAGGGTAGTGTGGCTGGGACCTCAGTTCCGCACTGTGTGCCTCTCCATGAGGCTCCTTGGTTGGTGATATGATTTCAGGAGGACAAGGCAGACGCCGCTGGTTTTGAATGACTACCCGCATAGTCACATACTGTGGCTTCTGTCATGGTCCTATTCCCCAACCTCGAGACAGTAATGCCAGGGTTCTACACAAAACGAAGACTCGTGGGGATCCCTGGGGCCATCTTGGAGACCAGCTGTCCCGGGAGGAAATGAAAGTACTTGTTGCCTGAAATAAGTCACACCCGTCTCTTGCTGCAGCTCACTCTTCTTCCCCATTGGCCTTGTGTGTCAGGCAGTGTCTCCAGGGGCTGAGTGGTGTTTGTGTTTGCAGTTATCCTAAGTACTTATTTGAGTATCAAAGGCTACTTGGGTTCTCAGGCCAGCTTTGCCATGTTCTAGCTATTTAGTGTCTCTGCGCTCCCATTTCCTCGTCTTTAAAATGGGGTAGAGTACCTACTTCACTGCTGTTTATGTGTGAATATTAAGTGAGACAGCATGTGTAAAGCTTTAAGTTTAAGTAAACACTCAGTAAAGGTTAGCTCTTCTCCTCCTCCTTAGGCCTTACACACATGAAGTAGGTACTTGGTTTTCATCAGATACCTACGAATCCATTGAAATTCATAAAAATTAAACTTTGAGTCTTTCAGTTCTTTTTAAATATCACTGTAGAGAAAAGTTTTCAAAAAACCTGCACAGATAAAACAGAAACGCCCCATTTTAATGCAGTCATACTTTCTATAAAAAAAAAACGTATTTTCTATTTAATGTTGGTTCTTTGCCTATTAGTGGATTTTATTTTAGCTTATTGCCATTTTACATCCACAGGGCAAGAATCAAATTTGTTAAATGTAATTTGTTTGGAACACTTATTATTTTAAAGAATTCAGATATTTCTCAATATTTTACCTTCAGTGCTTTGGGCTTTGAGAGGCCTTCTGTGATTTTTCTGAGATATTTCATAAATGAAAATTACCCTTTTGCTTCCAGCTTGTCTAGATGTCTGTAGGACTTTTTTTCTGTGACTCCGACTTTTAGGATTTTGTTTGTTCGGGGGCTAAGGAGTGAACCAGTCCTTGCTCAGACTAGCATGAGAGCTATCCCTGAGTGGTACCCCCAGACCCCGCACCATTCGTCACATGCTAAGGTGCCAGGGACAGTTAAGTTTCTATTCATATTTTCATTTTGATGTTTAGATCCTTGGTTTTGTTAACCTGAATGTTACATGCAATAAAAAGCTGTCCTCCAAAGATTTGTTTTTTAAAAAATGAGATATAAGGGGCTAGAGGTTTAGCTGAGTCGCACAAGTGCTTGCCTGGCAAGTGCTTGGTCACGAGTTTAATCCCCAGTACCAAACAAACAGCAAAAAAAAAAAAAAAACCCCAAAAAAAGAGGTATACGACATGGAATCTGTGTCATGCACTCTTTTGTTTTCAAACCTTTTCCCTGAACCCCCTTTAGAGAAGCAGTTGTTGTGGGCAGCTGACCCCTGGTGCTGAGGTGTCCTGCAGTGCCCTGTCCATTTCCCCTGATGTCGTGTGGTCCAGTGTGTCTCCACCTCTGAATCTGTTTGGGATGGGAGATGTTATCTGGACTGTTAGAGGGGAGCATCTGAGTAAGAGCCAGATTTCCCAGAAATGTTTCCTAAAGAATTTAGATTTATAACTCAGTGGGTCCACTTAAACTCTGTTGATGTTTGTTATTTTCCATAAATTCACTCTTTCCTCCTATTTAGTTCTCACAGTACCTTCATGAAAATGCGTCCTACGTCCGCCCTCTTGAGGAAGGAATGCTTCATTTGTTTGAAAGTATTACGGAAGATACTGTGACTGTTCTGGTAAATGTACTCCTTGTTTTATTTCCAGAAATGGGAGTTCCACTTTGTCTAGTAGCACATTTAACTCAGAAATTATTTTTCTTTTCCAGGAGACAACTGTGAAATTGAAAACATTTTCAGAGCATCTAACTTCCTACATATGCTTCCTTAGGAAGATTCTTCCTTATCAGTTAAAAAGGTACTTCCCCTGGAGGCCAGGGGCGCTGGGGATGAGTGGGCGCTGACCACTCTGGAGGTAACAGAACTGTAGCATTTGCCTCTTACACTTTGTGACCTCTGCACCCCAGCCGGTTTGGACTTCACTGAAAAGGGAAAATACGGCTGCGTAGCATAAACTGGTATTGAGAAAACTGAGGCACTGTGGTGAGTTACACCTGTTGTCCAGCCACTTGGGAGGCTAAGGCAAGAAGATCACAAGTTCAAGGCCAGCCAGGGTAACTTAGGGAGACTGTTTCAAAATACAAAATGAAAAGAATTGGGGTTGCGGCTCAGTGGAAGAGAGGGAAGCTGTGTATTCTATCCCCAGTATGGAAAGAACAGGAAAGAAGGGAGGGCGGGAAGAAGAGAAAGAAAGAAGGAAGGAAATAGAGAAATAAGTTGAATTATAGGCTCTTGGTTTCGGTTCTTTTGGTAGCTGTGTACTGTGTAGTTACTATTCTAACTGCCTTATGTTGTATAAATCAGGACTTGAACTCAGGGGTGCATGCTGGGCAAGTGTTGTAGCACTAAGCTCTCTTCCCAGCCTTTTAAAAAAGTTTTTTGAGACAGTGTCTCACTAGGTTGCCAAGGCTGACCTTAAACTTAAGATCCTTCTGACACGGTCTCCTGAGTAGCTGAGTGCCTGACTTGGACCAGTATTTTCAGTAACTGTGAATGGCACATGCATTGAAAAAAAAATCCAGTTTTGGGTTTTTATTATCCCTTTACTGTAAAGTGTAGATGGGAGTTATAAGAGTTGACATCTGTATTTGGAACTATAATCGTTAGATGTCTTTGAAACAATGTATTCTTTTTTTGTACCAGGCATCAAACTGGTGACCTAGCACTTGTCAGGCAGGTACTTATGCCATTGAGCTATATCCCCTGCCCTATATTCTTGTTTTTATTGTTGGTGATTTAAGTTATGAACTAAAAACTTTATCCCTCATGTGATATGTTATTTAGTGACCTCTAATATTCTACCTTAAATGTTTCTGGAAATTTGATAATACTGCTAGTATATTTTTATACTTTTGATCTGAAACTATCAAGATTTCTATTTTATCTTGAGTTATGCTTTGAATTATACAACTAGAAGTTAATATAAAGCATATATATCGCAATATGGGGATTTAGCTCAGTGGCATAAGTGCCTGCCTGGCAAGCATGAGATTGTGAGTTCAATCCCGGGTACCAAAACAAAACACAACAACAACAACAACAACAACAACACCCCATAATACAAGGTATAGCATATATGTATACATTACTTATCAAAATATAAAAATTCATTATTTTAAAAAATTAATATACATAGTAAGAAACATCTTGTTTCATAATCCTAACCTGACAAGTTATTTCAGTAACCAAATTTTGTGATTTGTTCTTTCTTTTATGGAAAAAATGAAATTTCATAACAAAAAATAGGAGAATGATAATGGTTAATTAATTATCATTATCTTCAAAGTAGTTATTCAAGTACAAGATAAGGGCATAAGAAATTCTCCAAACAGTATTAGCAACCAACCTTTCTTTGCGTGAACTAAGAGAAACTGGTAATATAACTAACTTGTGATTTGTTCTTTTATTTTTTTATTTTAGAGAGAATAAAACCAAGGAAAATAAAACAGTAAAATCAATCAAAATAAACCAGAATAAGTGATATGGGACTTCCGAACCTTATGAAACCAACAATAGTTACCACAGTGCCTTTGTTGTCTTCAAAACAGCTGCAGATATTACCTTTGGACATAGTAAAAATCAAACAGAACAAGATAGAAACAATAAAAACAAAACAATGACTGCAATAAAGGACGTCAAAACAAGCCAGTAATAAATATATACTGGCTTCTGTAACATGTCTTGCTATCTTTCAAATAGCTGCCCATGCTGTCAGAGTTAACATAAACAAAACAGAAGAAAAAAAAAACACCCAACCCAACAAAACAATGAGAATGATACGGTTTCCAGGCGGGAAGCTTCTCCCACAGGGCCAGCTTCTCTCCCTCTGCAGTGATTTGTTCTTATGAGGGGATTTTAGGAATTATTGAGTTACTTAATTATTACTTAAAGTAATAATTAAGATTCATGATTTCATTAATGTGCATGTGTTCAGCATGATGAAATTTATTAAAAGTTGATTTTGTAAGTTCAACATTATAATTGTATTGCCTTATTTGGGGTATGTTTAAGGTTTAAGAATCATGAGAATAGTACTTGGTACTTGAAATAGTTATATATTTTTATTTCGTATCTGCTTTTTTGTCATTCCATTTCTTTTGTTTTGTTTTTGGAAATAGGGTCTCACTGGCTTTGTTCAGACTGGCCTTGGAGTCACTGTATACCCCAGTCTCACCTCAAACTGTAGGTGATCCCTCTGGCTCAGTCTCAGCCCCCTGAGTGCTGGGATTATGGGCATGTGCCATCACACCTAGTTCTCATACTTACGTTTTTAAAAACACCAGCTAAGTCCTTGCTTTATCTAAGGTTCCTTTTGGAATGTTTTGTCACACAGACTCTCAGCCCTCTTTGGGAGAAATTCATGTATTAATTACATCATTTTTTAAATTATACCTTTAATTGATATGATGACATGTTCATGGGCTCAGATTGAATAACGCTGTCTTACTGAAAGGAAAGTAGACGTGCCAACACAGAGGGATGGGGATATAATTATGATTTCTCTACCAACTTTTCTAATTTTGTATAAAGTCTTTATTTTTGCTTGATTACCTACACATTTATAAATAGCCATAGAGTGCATATGGTTTCTTTGAACTTTATCAATTGTTATCTCAGGTAACCATTTAAAATAGGGAATGATAAAGTGTATTCTATGCGTGTGGAACATTTTTTTAAAAATTTGAGCCCCTAACTTAGTTTTTCTAATTTGTTTGGCTTTTAAAACTACTGTGGTGAAAACAGTTTTTTCGTCTCTGAACCGCTGTCATTTGCAATAACACCACTTCCTGTTTAATTAGTTCTCTTTTGGAATCCAGTCTGCAAAATGTTTTCTCCCTAAAATATTTAAAGAATCCTGAATATTTAAGATATTTAATATTTTAATGTGTTCGTGCTGCTCTCAGAAGGGAGATATTGGGCATGTGCCTTTATTCCACTTAGTCCTCTGTCTCCACTGGATGCTCAGCAGGCAGCTGTGTACCACAAGGAGCTGTGCACACAAACGTGATCAGACTCTTCTTTCCGCAGAGTCTGTCTCTGGATGTAGTGGAGAGCTTACTTAGGTGGTGGCTAATGCCTAGCTGAACATTGCTTAGGATGCTCACTTTCTAAAAACCCGCCCCTTCCTAGTTTAGAAGAAGAATGTGAGTCTTCTCTCTGCACATCTGCACTAAGAGCCAGGAATCTGGAGCTGTCCCAGGATATGCGGAAGATGACGGCTGTGTTTGAGAAGCTGCAGACCTATGTTGCTCTTCTCGCCTTGCCGAGTAAGTGTGTCTGCTTGCGTGGTTCCGGGCAGAGGCTTGGGAATGCAGGAGTTGGGAGAAAAAGCTGGTTTTGCTAGTTAGAGCGAGAGGAGCAAAGGATCTGAAGTCAGGAAAAACTGAAATTCAGATCCTCTTAGGCAAAACACTATTTCTCTCTGCCTGTTTTCTCCTTTATAAAATATTAGGCTTTAAGTCTGCCTTTATTAATGACCTTTCTTTCTTCCTTTTTTACATGGATTAGGGCAAGTCATGAGAATTGCAGCAGCTTTCCAACAAGGAGTAGAGGGGGATTTAGTAGTAAGCACGCAATTTGTTTCCTTTTGCCCTTATTTGAAAAAAATATTTTAAGGTAATCTTAGTGATATTTTTCAGAATGCCAAGGCCTGAGATGTAGCTCAGTGAAGAGCTTTTGCTTAGCACGTGTGAGGCCCTGGGTTTGGTTTCCAGCACTACACACAGTTGCTGTACAACTGGTACTAGGATTTTTTTCCTAAAGCAGCTTTCTTGTGACATAATTTATATACTGTGCGATTTATTCATTTGAAATGTGTAATTCAGTAGTGTTTTAGTATACTTGTAGACTTGTGTACCACTGGCATGGTCAATTTTGGACCATTTTCACTACCTCTGGAAGAATCTATGTAGTCTTCAGCCATCACCCTTCTGTTCTCTTTCTCTTCTTATGTAGCCCTCAGCAACTTCCAATAAACTTTCTGTTCATAGAATTGTACTTCATACGAATGGAGTCATATAGTATGTGGTCTTTAATGTAGCATACGCCAGTACATCATTTTTTAAAATTGCAGAATAATAGTCCATTGTATGGATGTGCCACATTTTATTTACTCACTCAGCAAGTAATGTTCATTTGAGTTGCTCTAGCTATTATGAATAATGATGTTCAAGTTTTGTGTGGACATGTCTTTTCATTTCTTTTGGGTATGTGCCGAGGTTGGAATTGCTGGGACACATGTAATTTTTTTCATTATTGAGGACCTGCCAGACTGTTTTTCAAAGGGCTCTACCATTTTTGCTTTCTTATAAGTAATCTTTGAGAGTTCAGATTTCTACGTATCCTCACTAACACTTACTGTCTGACCTGATTCTTGCCATCCTAATGGGAATGAGGTGGTATCTCCTGTCGTTTTGATTTGCATTTCCTCGTAGTCTAATGTCATTCACATCCTTATAGGTCACATCATTATTTCTTTTGTTCTTTGTTTTGCTTTGTTTTGTTTTTTGAGACAGCGTCTTGCTGTATAGTGTAAACTGGCCTTGGATTCACAGGGTAGCCCAGGCTGGCCTCAAACTTGTGATCCTCCTGCTTCAGTGTCTGGAGTGCTGGAATTACAGGTGTGTGCCAAAGCACCCAGCTCGCTGTCTCCAATTTAAAATGAGTTATTGGTCTACTTATTATTGAGTTATGAGTTCTTTATTCTAGATACATGCCCCTTATTGGATGTATTGTTTCCTGTGTTTTCTTCCATTTTGTGTGTTGCCTTTTTACTTCCTGATAGTATGTGTCTTTAGTTATTTTTTACTTGTCACTGAGACAAAATACCTGATGCCCAAAGTTGGGAAAGGAAAGGCTTATTTCTTACAGTTTTTGGAGGTTTCAGTCCATACTCAATTGGCTCCAAGGCGGGGTGACATGGCGGGGCTGCAGTTGAGGGCTGAAGTTCATGGCAGCTGCAAACAGCAAGGCGGAAACCTGCAAGAGAGACACGTCTTCTTCCTGTCATTACATTGTATGCTGGCTCCACCCCTAGGCAGCTGTAGCACTGACACCATCAATCCAAGCGCTAGACAATGAACCAATCACAAAATGCACAATGCAAATGCATGAGGCCTGGGGGCCACCAGCATAAACCATGCAAGTATCTTTTTTTGTTTTTTTTGAGACAGGGTCTCCGCTGTACAGTTTAGGCTAGCATTGAGCTCACTTTGTAGCCCAGCAGGCTGGTCTCAAACTCACAATGATTCTTCTGCCTCGGTTTCCTGAGGGCTGGGATTACAGGCATGCACCACCATGCCTGGCCTGATAGTATCTTTCGAACCATGAAAGTTTTAAATTTTGGTTAAATCAAGCTTTTTCTTTGGTTGCTCATACTTTTGGTGTTGTATTTAAGAGTTCGTTGTCAAATTTGAGCATATAAAATCTTCTAAGAATTTATAGTTTTAGGTCTTACTTTTAGTGTTTGATCCATTTTGAGTTAATTTTTGCATGCAGTGCAACTTAAGGGCTCAGTTGTATCTTTTCCATGTGGAATCCATTTGCCCCAGCTCCATTTGTTGAAGAGATAATTCTTTCCTTGTGAGATAGTTGACCATAGATAAATGAATGAACTTATTCCTGGGTTCTCAGTCCTGTTTCCTTGATTGAATGGTTAATTAGGCCCTTCTACCCTCTGTCTTATGGCAATAACAAACTGTTTTGGTGACTGTTGATTTGTAGTTAAGTTTTGAGGGCAAGGAGTGTGGGTCATCCTACTCTGTTCTTCAGTATTGTTTTGGTTATTTAGGGCCCCTTTTAATTTCATATAAATTTTAGAATCAACCTGTCAGGTTCTACAGTGAAGTTGCTAGGATTCTGATAGGAATTACATTAGGTTTGAAGATCAGTTTGGAAAGTGAGTTTGTATTGTGTCTCTCCAAGAGACACAAGCTCTAACCCATAATACCTGTGCATCTGGCCTTATTGGGAAATGGGTGTCTGCAGATGTAATCAAGATGGGATGATACTGACCTAGGGAGAGTCTGAAATATAATCAATGGCATTGTTATAAGTAGAAGAGATTTAGAGACAGATAGACACAAGGCCATTTAGAGACAGATGGACACAAGTCAGAGGAGGGATCATATTTATGTTGCTCCCAGCAGAGAACACCTGGGCCAACAGAAGCTGAAAGAGGCCAGAGAGAATTCTTCCAAGAGCCTTTGGAGGGAGCATGGCCTTAACACCTGCCTCCAAACAGAGAGAGAATAAATTTCTGTTATTGGTTAAAGCACTCATTTGTGGCACTTTGTTACCACAGCCCTTGGAAGCATACAGGGAGTATCACGGCAACCCTCACACCGACAGGTCTTCTGGTCCATGAATGTGGTAGATGTTTCACACTCTGATGCTGTTTCTCAGGGCGTGTGGCCTTGGGCTACAAGCCATTGCCTGTGAGGACAGTGGTTTTGTTGGGCTGCTCCTCTGCTGTCTCCTGGCTGCATCACTTGCTGGTTTAGGCCCCACTCACTGCTGGCAGGGGCCTGTCATGTGTTTAGAATTTCTTGAGGCACAAATGGATAACAGGTGACCCAATCAGATTTGGCTCCTTATAAGTGACTCCCTCTGTTAGGAAGGAAGGGGCAGAGCAGTGACCCCAGGTCCCTGTGGCTGGTTCTGAGCTGGTGAGGGTGATCGGGGCCTGGTATCCTCAGCAATGCCCTGTTCAAGGTAGAGCCTCCTCCTAACTTAGGAGTCTTGGGGGTGTCTTGGCCGCACTTGCCTTGAACTTAGCCTCCGCAGTAGGTAGCTGGGGCAAGAGGAGAAGTCCAGTCCTTGTGCTAGGAGTTAGAAGAGAGGGTGTCTTGTGTGCTTGGCTCTGCCTGCAGAGAGTAGGGTCTGTAATCTCCCAAAGCCGGGAGGGAGGAAGACAGTGTGACTTGGTTCAGGTACCACAGATGCCTCTCTTCCCTCCAGGTTTCCCTATGTAAA